AGCACGAGATGCGGTGATGATGATGTAAGTGACGTTGCAGAAAGACCTTCACGACAAACCGTCAAAATAAAAGTCCGGTTTAACTTGAAATGATATGATTGAATATATTACTACTGTATACTACAATGCAATTCTCAAAGTAATAATAATATTATTATTTTTAAGGAATATCATACAACCAAGTTATTTTTTATTATTATTAATTTATACAGTTCTGTTGTGCAGCATCATGTCTGATAAAATAAAATAAAAACACAATGTTTTGTTGTAAATTGATTTACATTTGATTACATTTTAAAAGATTGGTTAAATTGTTAAAGTTGTATTAATTCATTTCACTAGACACCATTTTTTATGATAAATTTGTACTGAATCATAAAACACGGAATTCATGAGAAAGCAAATGGAAAACACAGAAATTAGGGAAAAATAAAATGCATTTTTGCATAAAATGCAAGATATCAAGATATTAGAGGGGAATACGCAGACAGCACACACAAACACGAACACATGCTGAATTCAGTGCTGTGCCTGCCTGTGATGAGGAGATTGTGAATTGAAAAAGTGAATATTAGTCGAATTTAAAATAAGCAATAAGGAGCACGAGATGCGGTGATGATGATGTAAGTGACGTTGCATTTTAATGTTTTGTTAGTCTAGCCCACGAGACGCGCAGTTGCTGCCTTATGCATTCAAAATATTTTAGAAATATAGAAGCTCAATGCGGAGAAGATCTTGATTAGGTTAAAACCGAAACCAAGCCATTCACACAGAACGTATAATAAGAGCATTTTTAGATGGACAAATATGACTGCTGCACTCGCGTCTCATGCAAGAGATTGCATGGGACGGACATTAGCCGAGCTGAGCGACAGAAAGATAGAGATGGCGGATAAAAAACAAAAGAGGAAAACGTCTGCGGAACGATAAGGCAAGAAGTAGGACCCGTGTAAACATTGGATCAGCTTTCCAGCGCTGGATAGAAGTCAAGGAGCGGAGGCCTGCGATCGGACGCCGAGTTTGCTTTGTTTCTTATCGATAGGTGAGTAACACCGTGTCTACAACAGCTAAAGTCTGCCTACACTGGACGCGATCAAACGACCGTTGAAAACCATTTGAAATTTGTGTCAGCACGTCATAAATAGAACTTGTTTTAGATTTAGATTTGTTGCGCCGCGCCGCTCACGTCCGTAGACACGGTGTATCATTGGTTTTGCTTTGTTTCACAGAACTAATCGTTGCCTGGGTTGCGTACATATCAAAATAGGGGCAAGACCCTTTTGGGGTAGGGGCGTGTTTGTTTTGGTGATTTCAAATATCAACACTGGCTACCAGAAATCACTCACTCTGCCTTTAAGACCTATTTAATCTGCATATAAAACATTAGAAATTAGATATTTGTTTAATTTTTATTGTGTGTTTGACTGTTAAAACAAAAAATATTTGAGATATATCTCCCAGCCCTAATATATATATATATATATATATATATATATGTATTGGAGTATATCAAACAAGTAGCCCTTGAGAATATTTTATCCCTTCAGGGAGCCCTCACACAAAAAGGTTGGAGACCCCTGCTTTACAATTCCCTGTTGTACGTGGTGGTCACTAATCGATTGCCAAAGGCAAAGTGAGAACTCGATGCTGAAAATCAGACACATCCTGTCAAATTTTAAAGAGCAAGTATAATGGACATATGAAATCCAAACCATCTTTTTCACTGAGCTAAGCAAATCTGCTGATCCCATACCACCATTATTATATCAATATATTAACAAGGCATTTACAAACCCTATTCTATTCTCTATTTTATTCACTACACAACTCCCCATCACATTTATTTATTTTCTAAGTAAGTTTAAATCAAGTTTGTCTTGTCAGAGACAATTTGGCTTTGACAATTTCAGCTTACATATCACACAGAGACATAAAAAATGTGCTGGTCAGATATGTTTTTCTCATATCAGCGGATACTCCACAAGCACCCCATCACTATGGGAACAACTGAGGCAATTATCTAGAGGAAGTTACCAATAGTTGGCTCACCCATCCTGCAATACGGCTAATTACGCCTCTAGAGGTGCAGCCTGAAGATCAAATGATTAATTATCTAAAACATCAATTAATATATACAAAAAGTAAATCTCCTTTCTTTAAATACAGTATATATATTTACTATAAATATATACTACACAATTAAAAATATAGAAATTAAATACAATATTTAAAGCTATATATGAATATATACATATTAGACAGAAACACTAAATACAGACTATTACATAATGAAATAACTTTTAAATACATATATATATATATATACACACACACACACACACACACATTTTTACTTCTATTATGTACGATAAATATATATTATGCTATGGCATAAGATTTGAATAATTATTCCAAAACCTATTTTATTGCATTATATATATTTATTGTACGTATATATATATATATATATATCTTTAAATAAATTTTGCACCATTTTTTCCCTTTTATTATTATTGCAGATGTTTTTGTTTTGCTCTAAAGAGACTATACCAGCAATGCTGGGATCAACTTTTCAGCACATAAAGAGTTTTTTAATCAATTATTCACATTAATATGGTGTGGACTAACCTCGCATGATACAAAGGCCTGGTTAAAAGCCCTGATACAGTCAGAGAAACCACACACACTGGGGAAAAGCTGTGCTGAGTTGCAGATACTGTATGATCCACATCCTGCATGAGGCATTAAGTGTGGTAGACAGAAAATGGCCATGAATAATGTGTGTTTGTGTGTATGTAGACTACAGAGGTTTAGTGTCAAGCTTGGGGCTACAAGGGAAGTTGTTCATCTGCACTCTAATGCCTGACAAAGAACAATCTTCTATTTAAACGGATAGTTCACCCAGAAATGAAAATGTGATGTTTATGCTTACCCCCAGGGTATCCAAGATATAGGTGACTTTGTTTCTTCAGTAGAACACAAATTAAGATTTTTAACTCAAACCGTTGCAGTCTGTCAGTCTTATAATGGAAGTGAATGGGAATCACAGCTTTGAGAGTAAAAAAAACATACACAAACAAAACCAAACCCATTAAACCCTGTGGGTCGTGACGATACATTGATGTGTAAAGACACGAAACGATCGGTCTGTGCAAGAAACTGAACAGTATTTATATCGTTTTTTTTTTTACCTCTGTCCTGAGCGCAGTGCGTGACGCATCTTCTTCTTCTTCTTGCTTTACGGCGGATCGCAGACTTATAAGTGCATTACTGCCACCTATCTCTCAAATGGACCATTGACACTCTATCTACAATCTCAATTAGGAGTGTCAATGGTCCATTTGAGAGATAGGTGGCGGTAATGCACTTATAAGTCTGCGATCCGCCGTAAAGCAAGAAGAAGAAGAAGAAAACACGTCACGCGCCGGCTGTCGAGGACGCTCTCAGGACGCGCTCAGGACAGTTCAGACATTGTAGTGCATCAGAGGTAAAAAAAAACGATATAAATACTGTTCAGTTTCTTACACAGACCGATCGTTTCGTGTCTTTACACATCAGTGTATCGTCACGAGCCGCAGGGTTTAATTTGGTTTTGTTTGTGTATGTTTTTTTTTTTACTCTCAAAGCCGTGATTCCTATTCACTTCCATTACAGGACTGACAGACTGCAATGGTTTGAGTTAAAAATCTTCGTTTGTGTTCTACTGAAGAAACAAAGTCACCTACATCTTGGATGCCCTGGGGGTAAGCAGATAAACATCAAATTTTCATTTTTGGGTGAACTATCCCTTTAAGCAGCATTAACATATAATCTTGCCTTTGTAGAGTCATTTATGTGTTTTCTATGCTGTATAATCGATCCACAAGTACTCATATCAGGACCACGGACAGCTCTACAGACCAGAGTCATTTATGTGTTTTCCATGCTGTATAATCAATCCACAAGTACTGGTATCAGGACCACAAACAGCTCTACAGACCAGAGTTATTTATGTGTTTTCTATGCTGTATAATCAATCCACAAGTACTGGTCTCAGGACCACGGACAGCTCCACAGACCAGAGTAATTTATGTGATTTCTATGCTGTATAATCACTCCACAAGTACTGATATCAGGACCACAAACAGCTCCACAGACCAGAGTCTGGACCTCTTTACTTCATTGTAGCACACAGCGTTCTTATCTCAGTGCTACGACGATCACAGGCAGTATCTCTGACTCTGCAATGAGCATATGGCGCTGTTATACGACCACAAACGGCTGCTAGACAGCTATAAGTGCTTTGATTTCTGGTCACTCAGCTGCAGGTCGTGCTCTGTTTCAACAAAGAAAAACAAGTAGATAGAATAGGAAAAAATAGAAAGCTAGTGTTTTTTTTTTTAAATAAAGAATAAAAAATTAAAAAAAGATAAATATAGATAAAGTAGAATTAAAATAGAATAGAAAGTGTTAGAATTAGAGGGTCAAATAAAGGTACAAAAGGTACAAAATGGAACACATTATACACTTCAAAGTGCTCAATGCAAAAGCACAAAACTCCGAACAACTGCTTTCCTGCTCATTAAAAGACCAGCTATCCTTCTCTACATAGTCCAACAACTGTAAATATGCATAACTGGGGCCATTAAGGAGAACCTTAATAATCAGATTAGTGTTCAGAATGAATGTTAGAATGACTGTTAGACTTTGACATTTGCTCCTCTAATTTGAGTATTTGGTTACATGTTTGTATATAACAGTTCCAGCCAAGAGTAAACACATAAATGAGATTTCCATGTATTTGCATTTCATTTCCTCTCTTCTTTGGGTTTATTTATCATTTATAATTAATCTCAGGGAGTTTTATGGGGATGCATTCTCTGTAAAGCCGCTGCTGGAACAATGAAAAGGGCTGTGCAAATCAATTGGATTGAACTAAATTGTTGTAATTTATAAATAACTGGGCTGTTCCCTCTGTGTGTGGGCGCTTCTTGGTGTGAAATGCATCTGGGTTCACTTACACAAACGCGTGGTACAGCAGCGCCCATCCTCGTGGTCTCTCGAGCACGTCGTAGATGAGATTCTGTATCCGTCGCTTCCTGATATTATTCCTCTTCACGGGACGTGTGTAGCCAAGTGGCGTCTTGGCGAGCAGACCGATGTTCTGCGAGCCCCGTTTGAAGTCAGGTTCCCTGCCCGAGCCGACGAGCAGCAGCGCACCGTCCCGTTCCTGCCCCGCGCACTGCTCCAGGACTCCGGCCAGCGCGCTCTTCCGCTCGCGCGAGTCCTCGGCGCAAACAAAAAACAAGCCTTCATTTCAACTGACATAAATGCCTACATAGAGTACCAAGATGAAAGTTAAATCGCATAGAGTAAAAAAAGAGTACAGATTACAAATCTGCTACCATGTAATTGTTGGAGGAAGTAGTCCAGACTTCATTATTTAAAATTTATTAGAGGCTTTGACTAAAACTTAATTGATCTTACGTCTGTTCAAATGGCTTTTTTTTTTTTACACAATATACATAACGACATACAATAAAAAATACCAAGACATACACTGTAATAATAATAATAATAATAATTAGTTTTATGGATTTAACATAAATATACTTTTTTTTTTAACTTATACCAACCGACTGAACTATGTTATGAACCTTTGTAATATACTGACAACCACTGAAAAACAAAGGTGGTAATGAGAAAACCACATGTAGATTTAAGCTTATCATAAGTAGCTTTTCCACAAGCTGAGATTAATACCAACATATTGAAGGTACACACAGTGTCATGCACTAAGCACCATAATGGTAATACATTTGACACTAAAATAATGCAATAAACATTAATTTATCAACATAAAACATGACATATAATCCTAATGTACATAACTGATAAGAAAAAAATTAACAAGAAACAGTTCTTTTAAAAAAAGTTTTTAAATGAAGTGTCACAGGGAATTCTGGGAATGTCAATTTACGTTCTCTCATTGTAAATTATATGACTTGTTCTTTTTCACTTTCAGAAACTTGTAGGTGTTGTCAGTTTAAGAATTCTATACTAACCCTCAGTACAGGAACTGCACATAAGTCTACACTCAGCATCAGATGGTTACAGTGACAACCATCCCAGTTTAATGTTCTCATTGCTTTGCTGTGTAAATTCCTTCTCTCACCCAGCATCTCCTGTCCCAGAAACCCTCTCTGCTCAGTCTGTCTCGTAATGACAGTCTGGAATCTGCAGATGCCTTGTATTTGTGCACATAAAAAATAAAAGGGCGAAATATATGGAAATATAATTTAAAGACAGAACGCCTTCACTACCTGCCAACATATGAGGTAAAATGAGCAAATCTGGTAAATCTGCTTTTTCTACTTGTCTCTTTTCATCCCATTCACACTATTGATATATATTACATTAAAGGGGTCATATGATGCAATAAAAAAATTCCTTTCTCTTTGGAGTGTTACAAGCTGTTCGTGCATAGATAAGATCTCTAAAGTTGCAAAGACTAAAGTCTCAAACCCAAAGATATTCTTTATAAAAGTTAAGACTTGTCCACGCCCTCCTAAAACGCCTCGTTTAAAAACGCCCCCACATGTCTACGTCACTGTGTGGGAAGATTTGCACAACACCGCCCAAATGTTCACGCAAAGAAAGAAGGTGTAACTTTATTGTTGCTGCCACCGCCGCCGCCATGTTGTGAAGACGCTGTGTGTTTCGTTGTGAAAGCGAAACTACGTTGTTTGGCCTTCCAAAAGAGGACGATATCCGCTTCGTCATGCCTAGAGCTGATCCGTGCTGGTCGCTGAGGAAATACATCAACTTCGCGCTGTGGATTGCCGGATCGGCTTTCACCATGGACAAAGCGGAGTCCAGCCCGGGGTTGTCACATGTGGTTGCTGCAAGCCCACCGGCCGCTCCTTCGTCGAATCTGCCGACCGCGCCATTCTCTAGCCCGCCCGCCGTTCCTCACTCTAGCCCGCCATGTGTGATGCTGTGTGTTTCGTTGTGAAAGCGAAACTACTTTGTTTGGCCTTCCAAAAGAGGAAATCAGTGGTTAAGTTATATTTAAAACACTGTTCCAAAACAGTTCAACTGAAATATTCAGATGTGTGCAGCACATTTTATGGAGGACTGTTTCCTGAACCTGCAGAGTAGCCTACAATGCGTCTGTGCACAAAGGCTGTTTCTATAAAGTGGGGCAGTTCCAACTTTGCAAGGACAGTCTGGCGCTTCTGACTCACAGCCTGTAAGTATGTTTTTTATATTTAAAGAATTTGCCACTGATGATTCAAACGTGAGTTTTGAGCAGTGTAGTGTAGCGCTTGTTGTTTGTCGTTTCTCCGATCACAAATGCAGACATGGTTTTATGTTTACGTGGCACGATACGCAACGCAACGCGTAAAAAGACAGTATAAGCCATTATAATCAGTATTTCTGTCCCCACTGGATGCAACAAATGCCTCGTTTGTAATGGGTTTTATTGGTGTTGTCTAATCGCGCCGGGACACGGCATCACAGTATGGTAAGGGGCTTAACATTTCCGTCACATGCTTGAGGTATTCAGCCAATCACAATGCACTGGATAGCTGGCCAATCAGAGCACACCTTGCTTTTCAGAACGATGAGCTTTGTAAAAATCAATGCATTTTAGAAAGACGGGGCATAGAGGAAAAACAATAATGTACATTATGTGGAAAATAATGTGGGTTTTTTCTACCTTAAACCACATAAACACATTGCATTACATCAAATACACAACATAATGTTCTTTTTAGCAACGTCATATGACCCCTTTAATTTAGGAAATATGCTTAAAAAACTGCCCTTTTACTTCTGTTAGGATAACTTCCAATAGGACTAAGCAGTGACCTTAAAATTTAGGAAATTGTAGGTTGTTCTCTCTCTCTCTATATATATACAGTATATATATATATTCAGCATAATATGATTTTTTTTTTTGAAGATATCAATGATAATGCCAAATGATATTCAGCATAATATTATATATGGATACATTTCTGGTTTGGTATTGGAGCATTTGAGCCTTACTAATGGAGATGTGGAGGTACAAAAGACCAAAAAGGTTGGAAAACATTGCAATAAAGCACTCTAAACTGAAACTGAAACGGAGAATCCCACAGTGAAGCAGTTCTCAGGATTTCATTTATCATTAATGAGATTTACACTCTCTCTGAGAATTAAGTTTCTTAGGTTTCAAATCTCACACATAAGAGCAAATTAGAATATTCAGCACACAGAGGTTTTTGCAGTACACGTGCTGTCTTAACTAAGGTTGATAAGGTTTTCCATTGTGTGCATACAATGGCATGTCTGTGAATTTGATTTAGGTCATTTGG